TTCCATTGGGCCCGGTTCTGCGCCATCTCCGCAAGTTTCCAGCCAGCGGTGTTCTTCATCTTTGATCCCCAGCCCTGAAGACGCACGGGACCTTCGACAGCCAAACTGGAAGTCAGTGCTTTAGTCGTTTGTCGCCACGTGATAAGCTGACCCGCGCGCGATTTCTTCCAGCCTGGTCTTTTGCGAGTAATGAGAGCGCGTCGGGGCAGTTGTTCGCATGGCATGCGTGAAACGTAGCCCAGCCGTCTCAGTTCGCGCAGCGGTACCTGTCTGTCAAGTGAAATACCGTGTTACCCAAGACGCGACGTCTAACATCATCGTTGCACACGTGGTTCATCAACCACACTCGAGCTATTCTCCGCAGACATCCATTGTCAAAGGCCGAAATCCGGCGCAAGTCATTCACAGGACTCACACCCATACATCAGCGCCGCGCGAACACAGGAATTGTAGACCCTGCCCTTTACCAATAGTGAAATGGCACGGCTTCGTTACAGATGCCTCAAGTTGGCGAATGCCGAACTGGCTTTGGCAATGCGGTGGGAAATCTCTTTTCCAATGCTATCATCAGCAGAGTCACAGATTCGCAGGTAAATAAAGATGTTCACTTGTTCAAGCTGCGTGCCTTAAATAGTGTGCACTGGGGCAGGTGGATATCAACCCAGGACCTGCACTTTGCATTTCGTAGGAGCAGTGGTCATTCCGTATTTTGATGCTTCAATCGCGTTGTGGTTTAGAACGGCTTGTGTGCTTTGTGCATCACCAAGCAAGGTAATATCATCAGCATAATCTAAATCGGTCACGCGATTGCCAGGAAGCAGCTCTACACCATAAACCTGAAAGCCCTCTAGAGTGTTTAAAAGGACATCCTCAATCTCAAAATTGAAGAGAAACGGGGACATAGAACAACCGTTTCGTACACCGCTAGTGCTGGCAAATGTGAAGAGAGCTTACAATAAGCTCTCACTTTACCTGAGACATTGCAATATAATGCTCGAAGGATTGCGATATACTTTTCGAGTACTCTATTCCTTTGTATGCAATGCCATAAAGCTGGCCGATCCACGGAGTCGAAAGCGGCTCGGATGTCCAGGAAAACGACGGTATTGGGCTGGCGATAAAGATGCTATTCAAGGAGTTGGCGGAGCGTAAACAAGTGGTCTCTATACACCCTCGACCGGTGCGGAAACCAGCCTGTTCTTCCCGGGAGCGCAATTCTCGTTTCGGAGTTAGTCTACGGAGTAGAATGGATGTGAACTGCTTGGAGGTAACGGACAGTACACTGATTCCTCTGTGATTAGCGCATAGGGTACGGTCACCTTTCTTGAAGATCGGAACAATAATTGACTCGCTCCAAGTGGATGAAACTGTTTCTTCACACCAGATCTTAGAGAACAGAGCTGTCAGCTGGTTGACAATTACTTTGCCCTCGAACTTGAACAGCTCTGGAGGAAGTCCGTCTGGGCCAGCATACTTGAATCGCTTCACTTGTCGGAGGTCAAGTTAGAATTCAGCTTCAGTGGGTGCTTTGAATGCGACGTTCCAAGGCGCTCGACTAGGTATACACAATAGGCTCACGGGCGGATATGGCCCGCTGAATTGCGTGCTTATCGGCGTTCCGTCAGTCTCACAGATGGCCTCACTGACACCAGGTCTTTTGTGACCAGTGGCCCGAATGACCTGGAAGAACTTACAGAAGTTTCCAGAGTGCTGCCGTTTCCATTTCTGAGGCGCGCTGGGAACACCAAGGTTCGCGATCAGCACGCAGACTTTGCTTAAGTTGTTGGCTGAGAATGTGACGCAGTGCACTGCTATTTGAATCGGCCGGGAGAGGTCTTTGACGATCAAACAATTCCAGTGAGTGTGCGGAAATCCATCCCTTCAGAGGTCGCCTTGTGATTCCGTAGATTGTATGACTGGAAGTTGGCGTCGCTTCACGCAGGAAATTCCAATGGTTTTCGATGTCTCGGGGTGGAACACCAATGAATGCATGCGATAAGGAAGTTTGATAAGTTGATCGATTGGAGAGGTCTGCTAACTTGTTGGTGTCCAGCGTATGGAGCTTTCATTCTGAGCAGCCACAGAAACGCATGCAGATGTCCGCGCAGACCAAAGCATGAGCTGAAACGAGGTACGTAGACCAAATCGATCTACAACCGCGGACGCTGTCTCGCCATCTAAAGCTGATTGCAATGTGATCTATTTGTGACCACTCTTGCGTTGGTGAACGAGGACGCCAGGTGGCTGCGCCTCTTCTGGTATATCTTCAGTTCGTACTTGAGAGAAATAGACGGTGGTTTACGTATAACGTAAGAAATCTATCACCGTTGTCAGAGCGACTCTCATCAAACGCGTGACTACCACCAAGCTGACGTGCGCACGGAAGCAAGTGACCTACTCGTGTTTTGAGACCTCCGGCAAGGACGATGACATCTGACTTTTTGGCCTTGTTCGAAAGGTTGTGGAGACGACGATAAATGTCATCCTTAGCCTATGCACAGCTGCACTCGGTTGGAGGGTAGGCCGAAACGACAAACAAATTGCGCCTCTTTTCACGATGTCTGTTGATTCTACATGAACCTTGATGCCCCGAACCGCACACAGCCGGCTGTCGATTGGAAACCAGTCGAGTAATGCAGCCTCCGCTTTGTCACTCAATGCGAAACCGACACCAGCTGAGCCGGCTGTTGCTGCCTCCATATCACTAGACAGACGTAGGTAATATGTGGTAACAAGCGCAGTCGGAGACGACAATTTAACCAATGTGCTGGGATCCTGTAGTCTAGTCTCTGAATGGTAACAAACATTTATAGCGATGGACTCTAGAGTGTGCGCCAGGCCTGCCTGTTGTCCTATCTGTAGGAGGGTCCGAATATTGAACGCTACCAAACGGAATGAATTACGGGGTCGAAGGATAGCTGATGACCGGTTGATTTGGATATCAGCGAGACGAGCATTGCAAGTGGACTCAGCAGGTTGTAGATTATCAACAAGAATAAAGTTAGCTTGTGATGGAGAAGCACGAGTAGCAGCGGAAGTAAGTGACAGTAACGATTGCGAAATCCATGGTTTTCACAGTGGGCACGATGCTACCCGGTAACCCAAGCCGAAGTAGGGAGTTGTCTTAAGGGACTCCACTCTGAGCCTTTGGCACAATAGCCTAAACGCAAGGCAGCGGAGCGAAGTCAGAGATTCGTACCCATTGGGAGCCGATGACTGATTGTTCAGTTCATATGCCTTTCGTTTTGTGAGTATGCAAACAGGAGCCCAATCTTCCCCACGATTTTAGCATCAAGGTACTGGGATACAATGCTTCACCAAGGTGAAACAAGGGCCAGTGATTTTATTTAGTGGCGAGTCACATCCGCCACGTCGCAGTGTTGTTAAAAGGACCTTTGTGGCTTTTTATAGGGAGAAGCTTGCTAGACGAAACCCACCACGTCCTGGAATACTGCTGCAGAACTATTCGCTGGACCGAGATAATCCCGGATCACCCAGCTGGTACCACGAGGAGGTTGTTCGGCTCCAGTAGGTGACTAAATCTTCGTCATCTTTCTTAGCTATCGTGAGGCGCTTGTACCGAATGTTGAACAAGGATGTCTGTTCATCAAAAATTTGTGACAAGACTTTGACAACTTCGTCAAATGATAGGTCAGGACTCTTCTTTGGCTGAATGCAATTTGTAAACTTTTCATGTTGAGCCGCACCTATATTTTGGAGCATCAGGCGAATTTTCTTCCCTTCTTGGACATTTGCGAAATCAACACGAAACATGTCTTCATACTTTTGAAACCAGGAAGCGAGTTTCACACCAGCATCCGCGTCATAATGGAATTCATTGACCTGCTGAGTCATGATTTCCTGGAAAGGGGACAATTTCGCTTGCCACTAACCCTGGGCTGGACTGTGTCGACAGCTTCTGCGTCAACATCTCAATGAGCTTGGCTTGCTGCTGCAACTGTTGGAAGCTGACTGCCATTTCTATGTTCGATTGAAACTCGCGTCGCCACTGCTGTAATACTGCTTTTCCCTCTGCTCTCTGCACTACCACGCAAACTCAGCCGTGGCAAATCAGAACGCCGAGTATGCTAGACCGAAGTATATTAGACTCAGACCATAGTTAATTTTATAGGTCACATACTCTTACTTCGCCTGTCTGTCACCGAGACGAATCATACCACTTGTTTGAACAGATTGGACCCTGGTAGCAGCCTTGACTGTCTGACTGTAGGTAGGATCACGTCCGCACCATATCAACCATGCGATGATGGCGATTTGGTTTCATCAGCTTCCGGTGTGACTCAGCCCTGCTACTGCCGGTCAAGTAGCAACCCATATCATCCAGACACGTCCCGAAATCGTGTCACGTCCTGCGGCCTGCTAGAGTTCACCATCGTAATCAGTCGTCCCGCTTCCGTTACATAATCATACGTTTCTTCTTTCCGTGTCGTCTTTCTACAGCTGTCTGCAACCCGTGCTATTCTATTTCACCGCTACATCACATTTCTACTTGTAACGCTCTGGTGTACGAACTTGACTTATCTGACTATATTTATATCATTTTTAACGGAATATTTTCCCTCATTCTGCCGCAATTCTAAATTTTTAGCGCTTTGGCGAGTGGTGGCTAACCAACCTACTCGCTTTGCATACATTTTATTTAAGTAGTTTATCGTAATTAACATATGTGCTTATCTGCTCTTGGTATTCCTGCTTACGCATTACGCCTTGCACTGCGACCTCCGTCTCTTTAATCGTTATTGACCCTTAATGAGACACAGCGTATAATTGCAACATTTTAAGCTGGCAGTTTGTCGTCACTTTTATCGGAATCCATCGATCTGCCCTCTGCATCTCCAGCTTCCAACGACCCAAATAACCTATGCATGTTGCTGGTCCCGTACCCACGAGTGACTTTAAGGCTTTACTCCATTTTGACACGTTTCTGAGTGTCCTTCTTCACAAATCACTGTTTTCTTCTACATTTTCCCACCTTACAGGCTCTTCAGCGGTTTCTTGCATTTACTCTGACCAGCTTTGGGACCAAATCCCTATGAGTTATCTTCTGCACCACGCACGACTCCACCTTGCTGATTATGCTCCACTCTATCCACGCTTGCTACAGTAAGTTTGAAATGTTTCCACCGCTGGCACGACGTCTAGCCGTGTAATAATTTCAGCTGATTTCTTCAGATGGCAATTCTTCGTCATTACCACAATTTTTCATCTGTCAATTCTGATTTCACTGGATGTTGTTCCTCGGTAACCTCTTTCGAATAACATACTTTGTATTCTATTCGGTATCCTACGCGCATTCATTGCTATTTTTCCCTTTCGAGCCTTTTCTCATTCTCACGTGCAAGAATTTGTCACCAATTACACGTCATCATCCTCAACAGCAGTACATCAAGCATTTAAACTGCTGCTTCGCTGTCATACAACTATAACGACCCACGGAGTGAAGAATAACAAGAGAGAGAGAAGAGGGCTCACCAGAAAACCCTAATGCTCTCAGCAAACATTCAGAGTCAAGACGACTACACCTTGTTAAAAGCATGCCTTCACTAACAGCTGGCTATCATGCAAAGATAAGACAATATCGGCGCGACCGTTTCCTTGTGGCTTTCACTGCCCTACGTCATAATTAGCTATTACACCGCAGATAACTCAGGACCACGTACACATTAAACAAACCATTCGACTACGAGACGGCGGCAGACGTGCCACTGGCGTCGACTGCGAGCCATGCCCTGTAAATTCTCGAGCCAAGCACAAGGCGAGTCACGTGGACTCCAGCCTGGAAATCGAGACGTACCGACGGCACCAAGTTTGGTCGTCAGTGACGGCATTTCCAGGCGCTAAGTCAACTTTTGTCCACCTCGAGCCTTGCGCCACTCTACACTTGGAAATAAAACAAGGACTTCCTCGGTAAGCCGTGGCCAGGCGTACGTAGTACGTGTCCAAGCCAACACAACTAATTCACTGTTTTCTGTTATTCTAAGGCACCATCTTGGTTATCACTGTCTAACACCCGCCGATGCACATAATGGTTGCGAACATTCTGGTGGCATGCGACACCATCAATGCCTCACAGACATCGGTAATCAAAGACATGAAGGTGCCTCAGTTCATCAGACCGAACGGGCCAAATCTTGCTGCCATAGAGCAGAACGACCGTCATTTTGGACTTGTAAACACGGCTTTTCAAACGGAGGATAAGTTCTTTCCTTAGTGATGTTGCAGATTACAGAGCGCAGTTCTGGCTTTTGCAATACGTGAGCTGACTTCAATGGTTATGCACCCATCGTTGCAAGAATCTCGAACAGAGTGGATCGATCGACACAGCTGACCACACTCTTGAAGTGGAGGAACACAAGCACCGTTGGTCTGCGGCACGTGTGCCGGCGCTCCAGCGTCAGCTGTAATGTGAGTAGTCTATAAAGCCCCATACTGCGCGGAAACCTTTTGCTCCTTTCTATTCCGGACTTCCCGTTCCGTGGTGAGCTGACGAACGAGATTTGATACTATCATTTTTGCTACTTCCGGCGTTAGGTTAATTTTTTCTGATTAGCTGTCGATGTGATTCACTCGATCGATTCACTCCAGTTCTCTGGCTCGCCTCTTTCTTCCAGACTTTTTCGAACATGGAGGTTAGTGCTTTGTAGAGGACCTCACCACCATCCTTACATACTGCGGGCTTCATGGAATCCGGATCAGCAGCTCGAGAACGGTTGATTGCTGCGATTGCCTTTCGGACCTAGACCTCTGATTGAGCCTGTATACAAACCGCCATGGTTCAGCGCGTGCCACCTGATTAGGAAGCTGTCCGGGAACAGGTGACCACATGAACTGCTCTCGAAAGTGCTCCACCGAACGAATCAAATGGCGTCTCTTATTGTGAATCAGGGTACTCGCTGCGCCTCTGATTGTCCTACTGACTCTTGGTTTCTTGAGACCATGCGTGCGGTTCATTGGGAACAGCTTGCGGTAATAGATTACTACTACTTCCTCTATTTCCTTACTCCTGATGATCTACTAGGTTTCCATGTCAGCACACAGGTTTCGCTTCAGCTGATGCTCCAGTTCGCAAGGCTACATTGGACTCAAATCTAGCCGGGATTTTTTCTTCTTGACTCCAACAGACTCATCGGTTTCTCGGATTTACATTGCGTGGACAACTGATAATGCTGCAAACAGATTCTCCCCCATTGTGCATGGCGGCCGAGATCCTGTCCCACTTAATCTCAGTGTCATTATGGCGAGTATGATAGCATGATATGCTAGGCATTCTGATATGCTTGCCTCACCGAGGATTAGGGTAACGTTACAGTGGAGAATAGGTCGTGCTATGTCCAAGTTAGCTTGAAAATTATATAGCCCAGCATTCGTTCCCCATGGCTCAGTTACTTAAGCTGCTGACTTGTTGGCTTTAGCCTCTAGCGGTCATGGGTTCGATCCCCAGTAAGGAAACGAGCGAATTGTTAGGATCACCGTTCCACTCCAATTGGCTTTGCGGACCGTCGGCCTCTGCCTTGCTATGTTTACCGCTTCACTCCGATTGGCTGTTCGACCCCGACCACGGATTGGCTGATAAAACAACAACCGTATATTTGCCGAACAACAAGACAAAAGGTAGAGCATGCGGGTTACATTTATAGGCTTTGAATGCCCATCGTTCCTGATTTCAGAAGGTTTTGAATACAAATCGGTTTTGGTAAGGTTTTATTGTGGCAACGTTTCACCCTTGACACAAGAGCTTCTTCAAACCAAGTGAATTGGTACAAAATTGGCTTAGCTTTTTATCGGAAGGTTGCAAGACATAGCATTAACAATTGGATAATCGTGTTACAGGTCAATAGGTCAAATGGCCATGCTAGTGGATTACCATCAACAAACCAAAGGTTGATTGCTGAAGCGATCGAGATTACTAAGACTAATAACTGTGTGAACAGAACAGACGGGGTGGAGTTATCGAACGTGTGGTGGTCTGTGTTAACCCAGTCAGTCAGAAAAGGTGGCGGCGGACGAACTCAGGTCAGAGCGTGAATCAGCAGCTGCAAGAAAGGAATGCCTCACATGTGAACGAACGGTGACAAGGATCAATGGGAAACGCTCGCTGCTTGTTGTTTCACTAGCATGGCCACTTGACCTATTGACCCGTTCACACGATTATCCAGTTGTTAATGCTATGTCTTGCAACCTTCCGATAAAAAGCTAAGCCAATTTTGTACAAATTCACTTGGCTTGAAGAAGCTCTTGTGTCAAGGGTGAAACGTTGCCACAATAAAACCCTACCAAAACCGATTTGTATTCAAAACCTTCGGAAATCATGAAATCCCAGTCGGTTCCAAATATATTCCGAGATATTGAACCCTTCGTTCCCTTTCCTTCTTTACTTTCCGATAATAGTATCCGAATGTTCAGAACCATTCTTGTAATTGATAACCGAGACTGAAGAAATCTTTGCAGAACCCGTTGGTTCTAGTCGGAAACCGGCGCCACCGGTCGATTCGTTAGAAGGTGCCCAACCTAACTCCACCCCGTTCGAAGTCCACTGGTGTATGCTGTCAATCTGGGATTGACTTGGAACAGTGTGACGTGGACTCTGCATCAGTCTGTCTATCTTCTGGGCCAAAATTCAAGGGTAACACAGAGTGTAGTATGTTCATCTTGAGGAGTTGCTTCCGTCTTCGATAACTTGAATTCATCCAATAGTATTTCCATAGATTCGTCCAGACATCTTCGGCTGTATTTGGCGAAACACATCTCCTGAGTTGGTTGATGTAACGGACCCACGTTTCTTTGCTCATGGTTATTTCGTTGCAGATATGACCATACCTTTTTTAATTAGGCCACGTGTCCATGCGATATTTCCCCTCCGATAGTCTTTTGCCAGAACCATCTGTCCAACATCGAAACTCATCACTATTGCTTGGTACCTCCGATTGTATTGGCACTCTATTTTCTGCTTTTTCGCCACGCTGTGATTCTCCTGCGGTTTTATGAGATCGGATGTTCGGGGCTTTCTCAGCCGAAGCGACTCGACCGGGAATTTTCTCCCCGGTACCTACGAATTGGGTGTGATCCTGTACATCAATAAAAAGGTCTGCGGAATCTCGCGAATCGATCCATCCCCCTCCGTTTTGAGCAGGGCTCTCTTGAATGTGTCGACGGATCTCTCTGCCTGTCCATTTGACTTGGATGATAGGGAGGCGAACGGAGATGTTCCATCCCGTACGTCGCACAGAAATCGGTGAATTGCGCGGAGGTGAACTGAGGCCCGTTGTCAGACACCTGTTTCCGGGAGTCCAAAGCGACTGAAAAGTTCTCTACCAATGACTCTAGTGGCTGCTGTGGTGGTGTTCGACATTTGTAAGATTTCAGGCCACTTATTGTATGCATCAACGAAAAGTAAGAAGTTGTGTCCCTTGCTTGGTCCTGCAAAATCAAGGTGCACTCTTTATCATGGTTTTGTGGGTGTTGGTCAAGAAAACAATTCACACTTTTGGGATGATTTCGCCACCAACGAACATTTGTAACACGAGCAGGTTAAATCTTCAATTTGTGAATATATGAACGGCCACTAAACGTAACTTCGTGCCAAAGCCTTCATTCTGCTCTAGCCAGAATGTCCGGCGTGTAACTGTTTCAAGACTCTGGATTGGAGTTCCGCTGATATGGCGACACATTCCGCAAACAGGATGCAATCTTGGACGATTAATAAAGAATTCCTTCTCTGGGCAAACTGCCATAGCCGTGCGTCCGAAATTCTTCGTGGCCACTGTGAACCGTGGAATTGGCTCACTTGTGATGGTAACAAGTCATGTAAGGTTGGTCGTCGAATCGGACTGAAAGTTATTGGTAGTCGGCTCACCGTGTCTGAAAACACCTGATGAACCTCCACTTCTAATGAGCCGTTGGCAACCACGGTGTCTTCTGACTGATGCTGTTCGTTCATCAATCGTGATAACGCATCCGCCTGACAAATATCACTTGCCGATCGGTATTTAATAAGGAAATCATATCCGAGCAACATTGTAGCCCATCTTCTGATCATGCCCAAAAGGCCTGCCTCGCTTTGTCGAGATTACAATATTTATTTATCTTTGCAGTCGATTGGCCAT